GGCTGATGTGGAGGATCCGGAGGAGGATCTGACATGTTCTCGTCCGGCGGCGTTGGAGGTCTTGGGATGGTCATCGGCCTGATGGCCAGCGCATCGGTGAACGACTGATGAACGGATGAAAACATCACAGCATGCCAAGTCTTCGGGTCATACTTTTCCCAACTGCATTTTGATGCAGGCAAGACCCAAATAATTCTATTCAGCTGATCAGGCCGCCAGAAGGATATGATTGCATCGTCCGGAGGTGACGTAAAAGGCATATTGATGCCAATGGTGTGGACGTATGCGGTGCATGCATCATACTGAGTGGATGAGATGCGCAATTGTCTCAACTTCTTACAGCCGTTCCACATGTTCTGACATCGCCAGTCATTAGGATCTTGCTTGAAGATATCGATTTCAGTAGGTGGGTACTGCTTCATTGTCTTCTGGAACTTCTGAACTAGCGGGTCCTGACTAATGGTTGAACGTCCTTGTTGAACGGCAGGTCTTGGATTCTGACTGCAAGACTGCTGCTGGCCATGTTGAACTCCTTGTGAGTGGCTTCCATCTCCTTTCTCAGGATGTCAACCTGCTTGATGGTGAACGGTTCAAAAAGGTCCTCCAAGAGGTACACCTCATTGTCAAGCGGTTTCACCTTCAAGTGTCGTAGGAGGATGTGCGCGAGATCCTGACAGAACTGGTAAGGATACACCTGTGCCAGTTTGGTCCTGCTTCCGAAGGTACCAGCGTTTCCCTGTAGGGGTTGGTGTTCATGCTTGACTGAGCTGGAAAAATTTTACACCTTCTGAAGATCGGTCTCATAACCTCGGAAGGTAAACAGTGCATCAAGCTCGTGGGCTTGAGACTTCTGAGACCGGATTCAGGATCTTTAAGTCCGTATGCACAGAAATGGAAATCTCCCCAGGTCACGGATGGATCTGAAACCAATTGTTGCGTGCGTTTCAGATACCATATCCTGGATGTCTGAGGATTTTCGATGATGAAGTATCTTCTGTGCTTCAACTGATATCGCGCAATGGATGCCACAAATTCAACCATGGGAAGGTAGCGTCTCCGCTTTTCCCCAACCTTTTTTTGGTCTTGTTGGATGTTCTGCATATTTGACCATGGTCCACAGACCGGTGCCATAAGGATGACACCAGGTGCTTGTTCCCTGATGATTTCCATGACCATGTGTCGTCCCTTGGATGTCATTACATCGAATGTGCGGATGTCTACGGCAGTCCCAACCTTAAGACCTGATAGTGCACAGCATTGACTAAATCTGGCACTTCCTGCAAAGATCTCAAGAACGTGGATCTTTCCCTTACGTACACAATTCCAATGCGCTTGTTCAGGAATGGATGTGAGGTCCTCGACGAAGATGTTCTCTGCTGGATGAGGTACTGCAGGTCTTGGAGTTGTTTTTCCCGCGATACGTAATGGCACTGAGGATCTTGGCTTAGGCGCTGGTGCGGATGATTCCTTTTTCTTGGTATCTGCAGATGAGCCTGGTTGCTCCTTCTGCAAGGATTCTCGCTCTTCTGGTAATAGAAGATCAATTCCGGGTTTCCCCGGAGGGATGGTTTCATCCTTCCTGAGCTTCGTCATGTTAACCTTGATGAGTCGAGTCCCAAGATCAAGTCCTACCATCGCTCCTTCAATGGAAATGACCTTTCCTTTTAGCCATATTCCTCCCTTGCTTCCATCGGAACGAATCTTGGATTTGTCTTCCTGCCAGTAGAATACCTTGTCCTTCACCTGAAGAGGCTTTGAACTCATTCGGAGATTTGAGCAAGGTCTCGTCGGATGTCTTCGGATTGCCGTGCTTCTTGGAAGGCTTGCCTTGACAGCTGCTTGATCTGGATGGCTGCCAGCTCTTCTTCATTCCTGTCAATCGTCAACTGAGTTGGTGTTGCGACATCGAGTTGGATGAGATCTGCTGGTCGTCTTCCGAATGCGAGCTCCAATGGTGTTACACCCCCGTAGGTGACGGTCTGATTCCTGACAGTTGCAGCGGCCTTCACTAGCTGCCTGTATGTCACTTTCTTCAGTGTTGCAGGTGCTGTACCTGCTTTGATGGAACTTAGCATGATCTTGAGTTGTGCCTTCAGGAGTCGAACTGCTGCTTCAGCTCGATTTGGCCATGGTGTATTCGGTCCCAAGGATATCGGTGTGATGTCAAGGGACTGATAGAAATGTTCCCATGTATCTGTCATGAAGGCTTGATCTGCGACAACTGATTTGGGCTGCAAGTGGTACTGGTCAAAATAGTTCCTGAGGACAGTGATGTTCTCGGCTTCTTGCGTAGTTGTCACTGCCTCTGCAGTGAGCAATGTTGTTGCTCCATCCAGGATGACAAAAACAGTGATATGTTCTCCTGTTCCAAGAGGAACTTGACAGTGATCAATGAATGTCATGTCACCACAGGTGTCCGCTCGAAGTCCACTTGTGTTGCTTCGTGATGGTGCATGTTTTGCCGCTTGGCAAACTTCACACTCACTTCGGATCTTGTCAAATAGATCGAATGTTGATTTCGGCAAATGAAGTGCTCGGGTTCTAAATCGAAATTGATCTGTTGTCATGTGATGATGCTGCAGGTGGAGTTTCTTCAACTCTTCAGGATTTGACAATCGTTTGTGGATTCTGCCTAGGGCAAGCGGAAGCGATGTTGGTTCTTCTGAGGATGGTGCTCCGAGCCCAAGCTTCGCTGGACGCAGCGCAGCGCTTGTCAAGGCGGGCGTGTGCCAGTCAGTCAGTTCGTGAGCTTCCAGCCCACGCAGCCACAGAGGCCTTTTGTGGGCTTGGACCCAAGCGGCCCAAGTCAGGACGCAGCAGCCGCAGAGGCCGGCTCCAGTCCTGCAGCTAACGGATGAGCACCCCTCTCACAAGGCTATGGCGATGCTGGGCAGTCAGTCCAAGACGCCTCCCTTGGCGAGGTCATCCTGCCCGACCGGGTCGTCATGCAGAAGACACTGCTGCGGTGCGCTCGCACACACAGCGCTGCGCTTTTCAGTCAAGCCATGCATCGAGGTGTGGGAGTTCTTGGAGCCCTGATGGTCAGAATGGCCGCCGTGCAGGCGCGGGGCAGAGGCCGCAGGGCGGGCGAAGACACATAGACGACAAACTGTAATGCAAAATGCCTTCACTCAGGACATATGCCTGTGTCTCTCGGCTATGAGGTCGAACGAATCTGGTAATCTAGTGCCTTTTTTGGACTGCTGGGGCTGCTTCTGGGTTGTGGTTTCATTTTTGGCCGCTCCACCTGTGGGGTTGGGCCTGGGTGATGCTTCAGCGGGGCTTGGTCTGCATCATCAAGACTTCCTTCCAAAAAGCCTCTCAACCCAAAAAGCACTGTTTTTTAGAAGGATATGATATAAGCGAGGCTCATTTTCGCGCATTTTGGCGCCAAGCGCTCGCTGCCGGGCATGCCGGCGATGCTGGGTCCTCGCTCTACAAAACGCTGTAAATACCGTCAAAAACTGCTGTGCTGAGCGGTGGGCTGTCGTTCTGTCCGTTTTGCTTTTGCTGTGGCTGGCTCGCGTGCTGCGCGGTCCTTGCTTTTTTCGCGTTGGTTTTCGGGCCTTCTGGCGCGCGCTCGCGCGCGACCCCAGCCACAAAACGCTGCTATTTACGGTGTTTTGTTGCTTTTGCGTTTCCGGGCTGGCTTGCGGGCTGTTCTTTTTGGGCTGCTGTTTCTGCGGCCTCTGGAGCGCGCGCGCGCGCGACCCCATGTCAGCCTTCTGGTTTGGGTCCCGGCTACGGCCCAGAAAGCTGGCATCCCCGGCATCATCTGGGGTTGGGGTGGGCAACATGCATAACCTAACCAGCCATATCATGGCACAGGATACGTTTCTCATACAAAAACATGACATGACGTGGTATAACTTCAAAGAGGCGTAGCCGGCTAGAGGCCGCAGGCCCAGAAAATATAGCAAATCCAAACCAAACCAATTAATCAATTATTCAACCAATCAACCAATCAATCAACCAATAAACCAATCAAGTAAGCAAGCAATCTGTCGATCCATCAATCAATGAAACAATCAATCCATCCGTCACCCAACCAACCAACCAACCGCCAAACCAACCACCAACCACCAACCAACCAACCAACCAACCAACCAACCAACCAACCAACCAATCAATCAATCAATCAATCAATCAATCAATCAATCAATCAATGAGTCAAATCAATCAGTGCAGCAAACAATACAAACCAATTGAGCAATCAAACAACTCAACCATTCAAATCAATTGAATTCATCAATCATTCATTCATTCAATCAATCAATCAATCAATAAATCAATCCAGCAACCAACCAGCCAACCAACCAAGCAGCCAATCAACCAACCAACCAACCAATCAATCAATCAATCAATCAACCAATCAATCAATCAATCAATCAATCAATCAATCAATCAATCAATCAAAACAAATCTCATTTGCAGCTTGAGTTACACGATGCTAATCACAGCGCACTCCTTTTCATGCCATGTGCACTCCCTGCTTGAGGGTAATTCATATATATATATATAATATATATATATATATATACATACACGTACTCTACATGCAGTACATATCATACCTTACACACATTACGTTCACTGATTGCATTACGTCTTGCATTGAACTAAATTAAATTACAATACATCGCATTACATTGCACTGCGTTGCAATACAGTGAATTGCTGTACATTACGTCGCGTGCAAATTGCGCCACTTGCTCTTAGTTAATCTTTATCTCCAAGACCCGGGGAGCCCTCCAACGGCACTCTGAAGGGTACGCCTGAGGGATTAAACCCGCACACCCGCAAACCCGCAAACCGCTTTGCGGAGTCATCTTTGAGTCACAAAGCCGATTCCAATCCATGCCGACCAAGACATCTCCGCCAAGCTTGCCGAATGCTCCAACCATTGGATGTGCTGATCGAACATCCAAGGATCAGAAGCAAAACCAATAACAATCAAGAAAGGACAGGAACGAGTGCTGCGAATGTCGACTAAGTTGGGCCTTTGCCAGCTTCTGCACAGCTGGAGTTGAGTCCGTCAACCGAGGGATGCACTCCTCAGCACAGAGCGAGAGCGAGAGCGAGCGAGAGAGAGAGAGAGAGAGAGATAGCGGGCGCGATAGAAAAAACAGAAAGCAGCTCGACAAACAAGGCATGCTCACAAATATCGAGCATTGTGCTTTGTCTATGTGCATGCATTTCACGTTGTGCAACAAATGCAAAGCACTCCAAGTCTGACCGTACAAGACGTGCCAAGTGGGACCAGTCTGAGTTCCTCACAGGATCAGCCGCCAAGTTGACCAACGCACCGCAAGCATAGAACCTGCGGTGGGAGCAGCAACTAAAGCATGCAAGCCAGACAGCTGGAAACATTTCGATTGCTCGTCCTGACTTGCTCTTTGCATGCTTCAGAAGCAATGCTTGGTGGCAATGATCTTGTTTCCACTTGAGCCGTGCATGCATCTAAGAATCTAATTGTCCCTCTGGGTTTGCCATCGGCCTGCACCTTGGCAGAACTGGGAGGTTCCCAGCCAAAAGAGCCAGCAAGTCGGGTCATACAACTTGGATAGTTGGCCTCACTATGTTGGCGCAAAGCCATGACATCGCTTCGGAGTCAGGAGACCGGTTTCTGGCAAGCCTCGGACACGGCAAGCTGTCAAAGTCTGTCCCACGTGAGCCACAGTTATATATTATACAAGTGCAATACAGAAATAGTGCAACGTCGTGGCATTTATTTCGCCGTGGCAGTTCGGTGTCCATTCACGACCAAAGCAGTTCCAATCTGGGCAGCAGCGCATTTTCTCATCCCGGTTCCGCTGACCAATCACCTAGACTCTGTGAGGCTCTCCATAGGTGCATGCCTCAAGTGCGGCGAGCTTTCCGCTTGGCTCAATGCCTTGAAGGAAGAAGGCAGAGTGAAATGTCCTGCCAAAACAATGAGTCATGTTGTCATGTTCTGTAAGCAAAGTTATCATGGGCTGCCAATGACTTACCATGTTGGATACAAATAGCAAGCCCCAAGCCCTTCCAAGGCAATCCGTACCGCAGTTCTGGGGCTGCGGCGCTTGTGCCGGGGTATTGGGATCATGGTCTCCGAAGCCTCCGCCTTCGGCAAATGCCTGCAAGACTCTGAGCTGCAAAACGTAAGTCTTCACAATGTGCTTCCCTTTTCAACACAAACAATATTGTTCTAAGGACTGCTGAGTTACGTACACCAAGCATAGCCAGCAGCAAAACAGCATCATGCTTGAGTGACTTTGTCGGCGATGCCTGGTCTGTCTTGGCCTGTCCAGGCATCAGGCACTGGAAGAGACTGTCTGCCTGGAGCACATGGGAAGCGGCAATGCCGCAAATACCTGTCCTGTTTGCTCAGACAATGCATTTGATTTGCTGCTTCTCTTAAGCTGAGCCTAAAAACGTAATTGTGTTGGTTGGGGTAATCGGAGCGATTCCTTGAAACATGCCTTCTCCCGACGCCTGCCTTGCAGCAGGTCGCAAATGCCTTTCGGTGTGGAAAGGCACCATTTGTCAGAATATTGCCTGGCTCGTCGCTGTTGCAGCGCCCACTTGGCAAACCAGACAAAGGCACCAAAAAATCCACAAAAACACTGCAAACTCAATGCAATAGTACATTACAAAGAATCTCTCAGTGCACGGCATTTCTTGAAGCAGGTTCCCAAGTAGAGCTCTTCATCCTCATCACACAGCTATCATTGAAAGAACGGGAGGAGAAGTCATTTGCATATTGTGCATGCAGAATGCAGTTGCATTGTCATAGCTTTGGAGATGTCCACATTGTCATGCTTCTGGTTTGAAAGAGCCCTGTCATGGATTCCTGCCTTGAGGCAAATGCCAGGAGGATGCGGGCCTAGCTGGCATAGCTTTTGCAAGAAATGCTGCTGTTTAGCAACCCGAGCAAATCTGAGGCAAACATGGAAGAGGCACTGAAAACCCTTTTGTAACATGGCCCAAGCCCAAGCCCCATCAGCGAGCTGGCAAAGCTGAGCGTGTGGCAGCGCTTCTTGCCCTCACGAGTGCCAGCAACATCGTATCCGTGACAAGGCCTGCAGCTCTGCAGCTGTCGCTGTAGGCAAAAGGCTTTTGGAAAGCCCCGACAGGTTCAGTGGGCACCATGCTGCACATATTTTAGTTTAAGCTTGCAAGACCGGCCACTGCAGCAGGCCCTTGATTACCCTGAGACTCGGGCATCAAGGAAGGGGAGCTCAACACTGATTCGATGGCGTTCCTGCTAAGCTCGCACTTGTGCCTGGATGCAATGAACACAGTATCACCAAAGTTTGCATCCATCAAATACTCAGCGGACGTTTAGAAGGCAGACCAAATGGCTCTAATTCCGAATTTCCCGTAACATTGCAACAGACTGCAAACAGATGATTTAGCAGGTCCGCTTCCGCAACTTTCCACATCACTGCAGCGCTCAGATCGCCACTGCCCATTCTGGTTCAGCGGCTCACAAATGTGAGCTGCACATCTGACCTAATTTGGGTGCTCGACATGATGAGCCCACTTGTTGACTCTAGGCTTTGAAAAGACGAGTGTTGGGGGCATGTTCTGCAACACGGAATTTGGGCGCTAGAGAAATACCCGGTTCAAATGGATTATCCTGCCAGTTTTGTTGCAGAGAGTACCTCTTGCCAGAACATGACTTGAGGTATGATTTGGGGGTATGCTTTGGGGGTTACGCTTTGCCAGCGCAGATTAATTTACCCTTTGAGAATATCAGTGCGCGAGGAACTGAGAGGGTCTCTGGAGTGATAGCTTGACCGCTAAAGCCATTTGAAATTTCAGCGAAGTAGGCCATTTGGCTGCTTGGCTGGTCATCTGAAATGGAATGGCGTAGGTGGCCTAGTGCGGTAGTGCTTGCTCCGCTTCAAGCGAAGTCCATTCATCACTCTCTTTCCCATCTCTTCCCCAACCCATGATTTCGCCACAGATAGAGACGAGGATTGGAGGCGAGAAGCCCTTTCCACGCTATGAATTGGGGCCGGACCTGAAGCACCCGAAGCCAACCTTGCTTCAACACCTAAACAAACCCTCAAGAAACCTAGACCAACCCCCCCGAAGTGACCCTGCACTGACACGCGGCAAACACGGCTGGTGCTGGCGGCTGTTGCTGACGGCCAGTGCCACTGATTGGGGTGAGTTGAGGTCATGAAACACAGAAATACTACATGCATTTTATGCACTTAGGCTGCTTGGCGTCTTGGGCATTTGTGTGGCGTGGTTAAGCCAATTGGAGGTCGAGTGGGCGCATGGAACAAATGGCTCAAGTGTCCCTCGTGGCGAAGAGGTCCTCGATGGCAAGGGGGAAATATGGTATTCGGTATTCATGTTTGAGCCACAGTCGAAATGACTTGCTCAAGGTGCACTCATTCTATTATAGTGAGTCACTATCGCGCTCCAAGTTTGGGCATTTCGCACTTGACTCATAAGTCCCCTATCGTTCGCAGAAGGCTCATTTACATCTGCACGACAGCGATTTTGATCCTGTCATATTCCGCCAAATCATGGATGCAGAGCTCACGATCAGAGCTAGCCACTTCTGACTCAGCAATCAGGACCAGTTTAGAAGTTCTGCCCACGGGAGCTTCGAAGAATAGTCAAGACAAATGCGACGTGCCACCATTGTCCGTGTATTCCGGTTTGAGCAGTGGCATTCAAGAATTGATTGTGCGAATGCACAGTGGGTAAGTCCCTCCTGCATCGCCGACATCACAAGCATACTTGGGGACGATGGGAATTGGCAAATAGGCCGACTGTAAGTGCAACGTCCAAGGCTCCAGCAGGCTTCATGCCTCCTGTCAGGATGGAACACCTGGTCCAGGCTTTTCGAGCCACGAGCTACACAGGAGTCATTTGATGATTTTCATGTGTGGAGCATTTCGTTCAAGTGCCCCTCAGAGTTATTGCTTGTCAAATTGATGGAGAAGCACTGGCTCATTCTTAGGATAGGGCTTGGAGTAGCACAGGGCCTCAAAGAGCTCCTGTCAGGAAACGTCTATCCGAGCCTATCAGCCTTCCAAAGGAGGCAAAATAGTCGCAAAAGAGTCGCAAAAGAGGCAAAAGTGCTCACGGCAAAAGAGGTCATGAGACAGTCATGTTAGTCTGTGCTCAGTCACAGACCTGGGCAAGCAGGATCCCATGCATCAAAACGCAAGCAACGGCGTCCTCGTCATCCCCGCAGGGATTGTCATCATGGAGGTTCTCTTTTGGAGTCAACCGCTGGAGGGCCCTGAAGTCGCAAGCAATCCTTTTTCAGTCCCTGTACAGTTGCTTCCTCCACCTTACCGCCAAAAAGGAAAATGAAAATTTCAACAGGAGCAAGGTACCTCTTACACTTGCTGTAAGAAACTGCATTGTCGCAATTTGCGCTTCTGAGCTCAAGTGCCCCTGGCTCTGCGATGGTGTGAAGCTGGTCTCTTGAGAGGCTTGGGATTGCCTGGGCACAGCCTATCGAGAGCCACCAGAGAAATATCCACAGCAAGAAAGACCTACAAAACGTATTGCAAAACGTATTGCTGGACGATTCAACGAGGTATTGCAAACGTATTTGATTTCAACGTCCAGTTGCATCACAATTCACATTAAACACGTATACATGTGCAATTGTGTACTTGGCGGCGCCTGCAACAGGACAAGGCCGATTGGGATGAAGACCGAAGTGTCCGCACTTCAAAACGGAACAAACGCCATCAGCGCCATCTTGGAAAGCAGACACATATCAAAAAACATTCCTGCATGTGCGCGCACGAGCGTATACACACACACACACACACCCATGCACGCACGCACGCACGCAAGCACGCACGCACGCATGGACGCACGCACGCACGCACGTGCGCGCAAGCTCACGTTGGCACACACACACACACAGGCACACTGACTCACAGGCAAGAGAAACAAATAAAATCCATCGCGGCGTTCAGCGCATTGCCAGGCAAAAGGATCAAACAAATTCACGCAGCGCTCAACAATGGTTCATTAAATTCACGCATTCTACCAGTCACTGGCATTTTACAATCATCAATGTGCAAAGACACTAGCAATGATACAAAGGCTGGTAGCCAGGCTGAGATCAGAGCATGTTCACTCCCCACGCACTGTTGGATGGCCTCAGCGTTCGATTCTAGCATCGCTTTTCTGATAGACGATGGTCTCAGCTGAGCCAGCTGACTGGCCAGCGTCGTTTGGAAAGCCTGGAAAGCCATCCTGCAGGGCCACTGCAAGGGCTGGTTTCAGGCAGCTCAGTGATACCCCCGAGCCTGCGAAAGCTGCACAAAGTTGCTTGTCACCTGGGTTCACAGTGGGCGCTGCGTTGAGGCCAGCGCAAGTTTATGCTAGTTTCCTTGGTTTCCAATGCAGTCGACAAATTGACCACAAACATGAGGAGCGTGAACACCTGACTACTGTCTGGTTTCTTGCATGAATCAGCAGGTGGTTTTCGCTAAGCCTGCACGGCCCTGCACAGCTTGGTGCCAAACACGCGTGAAATGGTGTGCGGCACCTGAGCTAGCATGTACCAGCATGTGTTCAGGCACGCACCATCATGCCCAAATGCAGATTCCTCGCACCGTTCTTGCCCGCCCAACACAATGAGGAATTGCGAAAATTCCGCATAAGAGTTGACTAGCCATCCGCACAAAAGAATCACGGCAAAGTCTCTTCTCCAGCAATCCAAACTTCATTGACGGAGGCAGGTCATGCTTGGCCTCAAACGCCAGTTTTAAGACTCCCTGGCAGACTGGCTTGAGTGCCAAGCCTGGGAATGTATGGCTCGCCAACGCTGCTGCACCTTGCTGCAGGACATATGTTCCATAGGCATGCGACATCAATCATTTGCCTTTTCTTCCGAACACAATGTTGGAACATGTTGAACGATACCTCCAGCAGCCTTGCATGCTTTTGCAGCATCCGTTGGGGTCATGCCAAGACTCAGTAGCAAACCCAAAAGGCCTGCAGCTGCCACCTCAAATGCTTCGGCAAGCAACAAGCTCCGCTGTGCTGCACTGCAACTAGCCCGCTGCACTGCAGTTCTATTTGCCAGACTTACTCCTTGAAGTATCTCTCTTCGATTTGGAGCCCTCACGAGAGGCCACAGCCCCCAGCCATGCCTTCAAGGCGGTGCATTGACAACACAAGCAATGTACCGGGTGCACGGCCGAGGCACGGATCCATATCGTGCGGCTGCCCCGGGGAGCAGTTTGCTCCTAGACAAGGCCAACACTTGCCGAACTGTTGAAGCAACTGGCTGGGTCGAAGTTTCAGTGAGCCGGACAAGCCACAATAAGCTGGGGAGTCCACTGTATGATACCCTCTTGAGATTTCATGGGCAAAGTGCTGCATGTGTTGTTTCACAATCTTTTGACTGCGTTGGTCAACGGTTTCCGAAGCAAGCAATTTTCGTCTCCCCGCGCTTTACAAGTGGAATGTCAACCGCGCATTCAGTGCAGCGTAAAGATGTGGTGTGGGATGAAAGCTTGGCCAAGTAATCGATGCTTGCTTGCACCAATCAACTCCGAGACTAAACACCCCTCCTTGACATAGGTTTTTGCCCCGAACAAGCTGAGCTTTACTGTACGCGTACATGCAGCAGCAGCAGCAGCAGCAGCAGCAGCACCACCACCACCACCACCACCACCACCGCCACCACCACTCGCAGCAGCACCAGCAGCACCAGCAGAAGCAGCAGTAGCAAGCAGCGGCAAGCAGCGGCAAGCAGCGGCAAGCAGCGGCCAGCGGCAAGCAGCACCAGCAGCAGCAGCACCCCCAGCACTCGCAGTTCGAATGCCACTGCACCTGCGTCACATTCAGAAAAAATATCAAGTTATTGTTTGTTTTTTAAAACATCATCCACTGCAGCAACTACGCTTATTTCACAGGGAAAACACAATTTGTCACGCCGCCTGCGTCTCCATGCTCTCGAGCAGTGCCATTTCCTAGGCGGCAGCAGTCCCGTCAGTTCGCGGAGGATGCTCATTCAGGTCGATTCGGGTGGCTAGAAAAGGGCTGTGCAGTTGCCAGGTAATTATGGGAGAATCTCTGCACATTACTTTTTTGGCAACAGAAAGCATGGTCAGCTTTCTCTGCTCAACCAATTCTTTGCTCAAAGCACAATGTGATGTCGGCCAGGCTGGTGAGGTAACGGCCGCGTGTTGGGTGAAATAAGCTAAGTGTGCTCGTGCAACCTGCAACGGGGTCCCAGGCTACATGTGCGAGTCAGGGCAATCGCTTCTGATCCCATCAGCCAAAATTGTCAAGGTCGCCTGAGGCTCGCTCTTGCATCATGCTCGGAAGCTGGATGAAATCTGCTAAACAGAAATATTGAACCCAAACGGACCTGCGGCACAACACATTGTCCATACACTGGTCATCTGATCCAATCACACCCAAGACTGATAGTTATATCAAGAAGATCTTGCAATTCCGTGGCAAATGTGCCATCCTGAATTGTTTTGCTTGCTTTGCTTGCTTTGCCTGCTTTGCTTCAATTGCTCAACCCAGTGCTCAACGCAATGGCCGCCGGGACATTGCAGGTGACTGGGCGGACACAAGGTCTCGGTCATCATGGTCCAGAAGAATGACCAGAATTTCATCCAGCCGCAGACCTCACTGGTCTGGGGTCGCACACTTTATCACTAAATCAGACGTCAACGAAATAGAATAGCAGTCAAACCCAACCAGGATGCGCACTTGCCATGCATCTTCGGGCATCTGCATGCCTGGTTCTGCTCACAACTTGCACGTGCAGTAGCCTGCATCAGCTGCCAGCCTTGAGAGATTACCAAGGGCTCTCGCAGTCTCCACCAACGCCTTGGCAGCATGAAACGCTATTTGGTTTTGGATAGAATTGCTGATTGCGCGCCTCCACGTTGTAGGATTCCAGCAGCAACGGCCTGAATAACCTGACCGAGAAACACAAGACAGAGCCCACGAACCCGAATGCACATCACTTTGCGCAAACCCAAGAAAATAATTAGAGAGAACTTTTTTCGGTATAAGCCAATTTGGCCCGCAATCAAGCCTACTGCGCAAACTGTGTTTTTCAGCTTGTAAAACTGTACTCTGCGTGCTCCACTTGTTGCTACAAAGCTACGATTACTACAAAGTTGCGATTTTCCAGCCGGAGCCGGCACTTCGTGCACTAGACTTGCGCTACACAGCTGCGATTGTCCAGCTAGAGCTGAAAACCTGTACTTCGTGTACTATACTTGCACTTCAAAGTTGTGATCTTCCAGCCAGAGCTGGAAACTTGTACTTCACGCACTATACTTGCACTACAAAGTTGTGACTTTCCAGCTAGTGCTGAAAACCCTGCACACTTCGCGCGCTGGACTTGTACTTCGAACTGTCAGCACCCTACGGCACGCTTGAAGAAGGAGAAACACCAGCATCCATCACGCTGGGCTCTGGAAGGTCAAGGTGCCCTGCACGGTTGCATTGAACCCTCAAGAGGTCCCAAGTACAGAGACTCAAGTACCCAAGTGAGGACAAGTCACCGAAACCTGGAAAGGCACCTCCCTCCACAAAGACACCTCGCCCCGATCAAGCTGCAGAAGCTATCAAGGGTGGGAGGGTGGGGAAAAATGGAAATCCGCAGCCTAGAAAGGGCTACCAGATTTTGAGCTGCTTGCCTGCGGGCGCACCAGGAATGGAAAGTTCAAGACTAAACAGCCCCTGCCCAACCAACCTCCATGTTTAGCTGCTCAGAACTGTCAGCGCCCTACAGCATGCTTGAAGAAGGAGAAACACCAGCATCCATGACGCTGGGTTCTGGAAGGTCAAGGTGCCCTGCAAGGTCAACCGTTGAACCCTCAAGAGGTCCCAAGTACAGAGACTCAAGTACCCACTGTTTCACAACGAACCCGCTGCACGATCCCACTGTTTCTCCTTATAAAAGCAACCATCGCTGCAAGCTTGCACGATCCACTTCCTGCGGAAAACGCACCTCCTGCAAAGCCCAGCCTTGGGCTAAAGTCCATGGACATGAAATGCCTAATCTGGACAATCCATCTGATGGGCTGGACGAAGGATTGCAACAATATGGGCAATCTCGTGAACATCTCCCTGACTGCTACAGCCTTTAATGCCACCACGGCTGAGTTGTCCTGGAACCACAACACGTCTGAATCTTGGAACCGCTGAGGATGCAAAAGCGGCACTACAAGTACACACAAGCTCCCCAGGGAATATTTGTTGTTGACGCGGCTGCCACTGCGCCACGACATCTGGAGGCACAACACAAGTGCACCCAAAGGGTTGCTGGTTGGGAGGAACAAGGGCCCAACCAAGGCGCAACAGTCCCTCTTCAAATGACGCGTCAGTGCACACACGAAGCAAAGCCTGGCACAGCTGCAGAAGGGCCACTGTGCGAGGCCGAGCGTGTGTGACCAAGCCCCGCAGCGCGCGCAAGGCCAATTGCTCGTCCTCAGAGAGGCGGTCGGAGCCTCGCTGGTGCGCCGAAAAGAAGCGGCCTTGCGTAGCACGCAGCAACTCCGGCTGCCGCGGAAAACATCCACACAATGTCTCCTCGCAGCTTGCCGGCTGCCTCACGATCAAGCTTGCCTGTTGTCAAAGCTGTTTCCAAATGACTGAGAACCTTGGCAGTTGTTGTCGCTTTAGGCTGGATCAATATTGTCGCAGCTTCCGAAACTTCACCTACGTGGACAGAAGTGCCTAAATAGAATCTGTTGATTGCGGCGGGGCGCCGGGCAAACGAAAGACAAGCTGCACCCCCGCTTGAGACACAATTGCATCCCGCACAAATTCAACACTAAGCTCATCATCGAAGTAGGCAGCTGCCATGGAAAGCAGACATCTTCTTTCGGCAGCAATTCCTAACAAAGGAAACCTGTTGAATGCAACAACTGCAGACTCCAAGCCAAATGCCAAGCCCCAGAGAAGCGTGAACTGCCACGAGTTGGCAGCTGTGTACACTGCCACCACTGAAAAGGGAAGGTGGGCATCTGACACTGGATGGCCTCGGTACGCATCTGGTAAGTCATCTGTGGGGCACGCAGCCAGTCATGGGCTGCAAGATCAGCCGGCCTCTTGCAATCAAGTGAACGCAGAACACTTTGGGCAGAGGCTGCGCGATGAAGTCCACACTCACAGTGTGAATAGTCTCTGCCATGGAAGTGTGGTCATTGTGGCCCGAAGCACGGGCCTTGTCAATCATCCTTTGCTTCCATCATTTTGCACAGCCAGAAAACGCCAAATTGCCTGCCGCCTGGACAGGAAAGAGCTGCTAAAACCCTTTTTCCATTTCCCCACGCGTGAGCCGCTCTATGTCCTGCCAGTGGCAAGGCGGAGGGCTGCGGAGAACGGACTCCACAGCATCCCCTGCATCACGTGTGAGCCAGTCACGCAAATGTTCAACCTCTGCACTCTGCTCTGGCACGGTTCGGAACACACCTGAAGGCGGAACCTGACCAACTATGGGGAAGCCAAGCACCATACACTGGGCTTGCGTGGTGTCGGGCCAACGCAACATAGATGTCAGGCACGCAAGCAAGGCAGGCGACTTTGCCACGCCCGGCGAGAGCTATCACAACGAAACGCTTCAAGGGCAGCATCCAAAAGGCGCCACAGCTTGCGCCACTGTCTTGAGAACATGACGCAATTCCCGCGCAACGGCTGGAAGCTGCTCACGCCACACCGCAACAGCTTCCACAAACTCCACATCGCTGGGGCGCAAACGGTGAAGGCAAGTTGGCGGACGCCTGCGTGTGACGCGTTTTTCCAAGGCCCGGCGGCAACAAGTGGTCAAGGCCTCCGCATAAAGCTTCGACCGAGCTCTAGCATCAAACGGCGCAGGAGGCAGGCGAGCCCAATCGCGACCCTTGAAGCAAGTGCAGTTCGCAATGAGCGAGCCGCGCTTGCAAACGCTGCCACAGGCAAGCTTTCAGCGGAATGGCAGGAAACTGGGCCCGCATACCGCAAACGACTTCCTCAGCACGCCCTGGTTCCCAAATTGTTCCTTGCAGCCGGGCACGGAGCTCACTCTTGTCCTGGCAAGGAAAATGTACCACTTTGGACATGCACAATTGGGGCATCATGGCCAGCAAGCACAAAAGGGAAGGCAGATGAACTCCGTTTCCTATCAAAGTGTTGCGGCGCTGGGCGCGCTCGGCCTGCGTACCCTGCGCTGCAGCTGTGGCTGAAGGAGGCACTCCCAACATTTGCGAACGCTCTGCTGGCGAAGGGACACGCCAAGAGAGCGTTCACGCCACACGAGCGAGCGCGCTTCGTAAGCTTTCGGCGGAAATCTTCGCAAGTCCGCAAAGAAGCGATCCGCCGCCTGCGGAGACACAGAAGGCACATCATCCGCTGTGTGATGCTCTGGAGTGAAAGTAAACACCGGCTCTGAAGCAAATTCAAGCCCCCTCTGCCACCGACGGCAACGCCAGAGCGCTGGCTGGAGTTCCAGGCCCATCCTTCTGGCGGTGCACAGACATGAGGCGCCACAGCTTGGGACTTACCAACAAGCCAATATAGCCTTGATTGCTGGCGCCAGCCGCAGTTGGAAGCATGGATTTCAACTGGCAAAGCGCCAAGCCAATCAAGGCGGCAATCGGCTTTAGCAGGCTGTGATGTTGCAAGGCCTTGCCCGGCATCAAAGGCGTTGCTTCCAATCAAGATGCCTCGCACTTGACGACGGCGAAGGAAAGGAAGCAGCACAGACACATTGACATTGGAGACATCCGGAACATCCATGTTCCCGTGGCAGCACTGGCCCAAGGTACCTGCAGCAAGTCGCCGGCTCCTCTCCAAACAACTGGCCGAGCAGCCTGCAAAGCCTGCGCTATCTGTTGCGTTTCTTCAAGGCTGACCTGCAGCCCTGACAGTTTGGTCCTGGGACCTCTGGACGGAGCAAGACTTGGCGCTGCTGCGCGGGCTCAGCTGGCTGCCCGAGCGAGCTGCGCCAGTGCGCTGCAGCCCCTGCCATTCTGGGAGCCATCCGGGGGGCGACGGAAGGCCTTCCCCCCGTCAGCAGTGGTTCATTCTGGAATGCTTGGGGCTGGCGCACACAGCCCCGTCTGCCTTTCTCACATCACACATGCACATCAGGGCAAGCGGGGTTACTGCAGCCGCGGTCGTCATTCCAAGCCTTGCAAATGCGACGAGCCCCGCCGCTGCTGGGAGGGCTGTGACTCATCCTCAGTCCCACGCTTGCCCGGGCAAGGCGGGGCGGGGATGTTTTGGAAAGGCGGTGCGCGCACGGAAGGCGAACGCCACTCAATGTGTGTCTCACGTAGAGCTTCCTGCAGCGCCATGCCTGCAGACCAACCCCGGCGCACTTTCGATGCCATCTTGCCACGGGTGAGCACATCATTGCGTTGCCAAAGGTCATTGTGTCTCTCAACGCCCCATCAGCGTAGTTGAGGCACTCAGACAATCCAATCATGCGTCGCTCAGTTCCATCCTGATCCTTGACAAGATTGTTGCTTGCCCACGCCCATGCACCATTTGTTCTCTGCCGTGGTTTTTACTGACACCTGGCTCTCCCTGAAAAAGCTCAGCTTGACGCCAGGAGCCGCACGCTCTCCTGATCAGCAGGGGCTGCGTGGGCAATGACTGTCTTGATTTTCTTGGCTTCCAGCACTGTCATGGTCTTTCAGCGGAATTCGCGCCAGACACAGTCCGCCGGTTCAAGGTGAGCCTCAACGGTCAACCCGTCCGCCTTGACCCAGTCACGCTGGAGCTGCTCGCTCTGGGCCTCTGGCAAAGGCTCGTCAAGGTCCTCAATCTTGCTACTGACGGACTGCGCTGACTCACTTGCTTTGTAGCCTGTCTCGTAGGCACTGCGCATTCGCGCCAGGATCAAGCGGTCTTCCTTCAGCGCTGGCACAGCATCCACCAACTCTTTGACACTCTGTTCCCATTTGCCACGTTCAACCATGTA